CGTTAGAACGCCAATCAGTGTTGCCAACTATATGAATGGCCATTTTACCAGATTATAAAAGTTGGAATACCACAATATTACTAGATTTTTCCCAATCCAGCCAATACCAGAACATTACTAGGTCTTTGTTGCTAAACAAAAATTGTGCTAACATTTTTAGATTTCAATTATTTATTTTAAGTATTTTTTTTTTGTTTTTTTGGTTAGGTTTAAAATAAAAATGCAATAACAATAATATATAGGATACCTATAAACAAATACTTTATTGTAAAAAAAAATCCATTCTGTATAACATAACATTACAGATATTGGTGAACATACTTAGGCCCGGTTTGTTCATCTTCAGAGAAACTTCTTGATAGAGCTGTCAAAGATACTTTTAAAAAGTATCTGAAGTTACTTTGGATCAGAGCTGTCAGGAAAAAGTATCTTAGTTACTTTACAGTATCTTAGTTACTTTATAGTATCTAAAATACTGTATCTTAAATACTTTTTATTTTTGTCTAGTATCTAAGTTACTTTTCAAAAGGATATGTAACTTGTATCTCAAAAAGTATCTTAGATACTGAAAAGTATCTAAGATACTAAAAAGAATCTTAGATACTGAAAAGTATCTTAGATACTGAAAAGTATTTTAGATTCTGAAAAGTATCTTAGATACTGGAAAGTATCTTAGATACTGAAATTGACCTATTTAAGTTAACGAAAAGTATTAAAGTTACTGTGAAAAAAGTTCCCTCAGACGTTCACCAAACCCCACACAATAGGATGGAACTGGTTCAAACTACTTCAAACAGCATCAAGCTTATGTTTTATCTATTATTCATTTGTACTCACCCACCGCTCTGTGGAGAGAATTTTACCGTCTAGCTCTAGACAAGCAACAAGACTATCTCTAGACTAGCAAGACAAAGCAAGCAAATAGTGAACTGCCTTTGGATAGAAAGAGACAAGGTTTATTCAATTTTTCATTTCATTTATTTCAAAATACTAAAAGAGAAAGAGATATGAAACTGTATCCGGTAAGAATCAAAGCAATGTTATTATTGGAATCTTATGGAAACGTAATCTTTCTAATCCGTAATATAATCCAGAGAAAAGAGATGATAATTCTAACATTGTTTTGACGCTTTTTAAGGATAATTAGGCAGCGTTCTATACCTTGCTCTCTCATTATTTTGAAATTAATCAGATCAATAATTTTAAAGGTAGCAGACAAGAAAACCAACACGACGATCGTCATAGTCATAGCATTTATTTAGCTATGGTATGTATAGAGTAATAAGTGTCATAAAATATAAAATACACACTAAGCTCTTAGAAATGTAGGTGTTTTGTTTTCTTTATTTATGCAATTATGCATTTTATTTTTGCTTGTGTTGTCTTGATTGATATCATTTATTTGATAATTTCGGGTTACGTTAGTTGTAAAGCTGCAGCGGTGCCAGATATACCATTTAAATGGTATTTATACCATTTTTTCTTCCGTGATAACTGCGAAAATTTTGAGAATACCATTTTCCATTTTTCTACCATTTTTTGCATATTCCATTTTCAATTATAACTCTTTGTTCCTGTGATGTCAAGTTGTTTCACCGAATGACTTTTATGTTTCCTTTTTGTTGTGATTTCTCCCGGGGGTGATTCGCTATTAAGGAACTGGCCCTCAGGATCATTCCAGCTAACCTCATGACGTCATTATTCTAACCGAATTTTCGTTTTTAAGGCTAACAGGGACTCGTGGGTTATTCATAAGCTTTGTTCCAACCAAGCAGGGAACCGTACATTGTACCGTCACGATTCTACGAAAAACCAAAATTTGTGCTAGAATCCTAATTTCGTATACAAAGTGGATTCGAAACGGTTCTTGGGACGGTTTTTGACGTATCGGAACAAACCTTCAGGAATGAAAATAATAAAGGGCCGGTTTCTCGATAGCAAGTCATCCCCGGATTAAGCATAACTCCAGGGAAGCATTGCAACTGGACACATTTACCCTGGAGTTAAAAGCAACCAGGAGGTGACTCGCTATTCGCTATTAAGAAACCAACCCAAAATATAACAATAGACCCCCTTTCCCCTTTAGAATTGAAGATACCATTTTTTATTCGTAAAATACCATTTTTTTGAATGACATATACCATTTTTTATTTTTTCCATCTGGTAATACTGTAAAGCTGTGACCCTGATTTTCAAATAATTTTTTTTGGTTTTTGGAAAATTAGATTTTTTAGATTATTCCACTCATGTGTTAGAAATCCCATAAGACAAGTGACGATTTTCAGAATTACAGCGAAAATTCTCTTTTCCATTTGTTTAACTAGAGAGAATTACAGCGATAATTCTCACATGTTATTGTATACATGCTTGTCATGCTAGTTTTTGATACAAACAAACGGTTCCTGATAGCAACCATTTAGTTATAGTGATTGTTAAGATGTTCAAATCGTTTAATACATATTTATTTCCATATTTTTTGCATTCTCATACGTGAAATAATCCTCTAAATACTACTTGAGCTTTAAAATGAACCAGATAATTTTTCACTCATGCGTGTTTTCTCTGCAAATTTCACTCGTCCTACGGACGCGTGAAATTATAGAAAACACGCAATCGTGAAAAATTATCGGTAATTTTGAAGCTCTCGTGGTATTATCCCCGAAAATACAATTAAGTATTGATTTATTTGCAGACTGTAGACAATGGTAAGTGTTTAAAGATACAGATTATTTTTTTTTTAATAAGTGCAGTTATTGTAAATTTATTTAACAAAAGAGTTGATTGACAACTGTGAACTGCAAAAGCTCACGCGCGATTTGTCCATTATACCTATTCTATAAAAATTTAACTATGATTTGTGATTGTAACTATGATAACTTTCTGTGTCTTACGATTTTGACCCTTCTCGAACTTGGGATTTTTGAACCATAAAAATTTTTGTTTTAAAATTTTTAAATTGAACCCGAAACCTGTGGAACAAATAAACAGCCATAGTTTAATCGGTTTTTCCGCCTGCTATTTGGAAATAATAATAAAGTATCTTAATAAGTATTTTATTAAGTATCTTAGAAAGTAACTTAAGATACGTATTTAAGATCCTTTTTCCAAAAGTAACTTATCTTGTTACTAGATACTTTTCAAAAGTATCTTTGACAGCTCTGCTTTGGATATTTGGTTACACATTTAAAAAAGGATCTTTAATACGTATCTTAAGTTACTTTTTAAGATACTTGATAAGATACTTATTGAGATAGGTACTTTATTATTATTTCCAAATAGCAACCGAAAAAATCGGTTAGGCTTTTGCTGTTTAGTTTATTTGGTCCACAGGTTTCGGATTCAAATTTAAAAACAAGAATTTTCATAGTTTAAAAATCCCAAATTCGAGAATAAGGTTCAAAATCGCAGGACATAGATGAAAGTTATCACAGTTTCTACAATCACAAATCATAGTTACATTTTTATAGAATATTATGGATAAATCGCGACGTGAACTTTTGAAGTACAAACTCTTGTTAAATGAGTGACGTACACTAACTAACTTCACAGAGCGGCTGGGTGAGTACAAATGAATAATACATAAAACGTTAGCTTGATGCTGTTTGAAGTTTGAACCAGTTTTATCTTGTTGGGTCGGGTTTGGGTAAACGTTTCAAGAAACTTTTTTCACGATAACTTAGATTAGACTTTTCAGTATCTACCTACTTCTAAGTATCTGAAATACTTTTTGGTATCCAAGATACTTTTTCAAGATACAAGTTACAGATCCTTTTGAAAAGTAACTAAGATACTAGAAACTTTTGCCAAAAAATAAGAAGTATTTAAGATACAGTATCTTAGATACTATAAAGTAACTAAGATACTCTCAAGTGACTAAGATACTTTTTTCTGACAGCTCTGCTCCTTGGTAACCATCTGCAAGATAAGTGCACCGTTCTATAATTCTATTGGTCGGCGGATAACTGGCCAACCAATGGGATAACAAATTTCGTTTTTATGTGGGTCAGACATACCTGACAGTTTATCAGAAATCAGAAGGTGAATAAACCGGCCCTAATAGGTATATTGGTAAACTTTGGTATAACTATTTAAGACTAGTCTCCATAGATGCGAAATAGCGATTTTTTTTGCGGATTTCTTTCCTATTGGTTAACATTTCACATTCAAATGTCCAATGTCAAATTCTAACATGTGAAAATGTCACTTTAAGCGTTGATTATCGTTAAACGTTAAACCTCCCTCAAAATGGATGGTGCAAACGGCCATAAATTCAAGAAAAATGGATTATTGATTGCTAATGCGAAAATACCAGAATTTTGCTGAAATGAGATGTCAAATTACCAGAAATATTACTAGATATATTTTGAAAATCTTCATTACTAAAACCGGGGTCGATATTACCAGATCTGGAGTCTTTTAAAATTGGACAAAATTTGAAAAGTGCCCTCTATTTCCTAAACGCATCAAGTTAGCCGTGATTTGTCTTCGCCATTGTTATTTTCTCAAAAAAAGAGCTCGAGAATGTGCTCCCAGATTTTTGATATCTCTGCTGGTTTTCAATATAGCCTATTAAAATATCGAAAATGGGCCACCCTGTACATTTATAATAATTTTAGGTTTACTTCCCTTTTCGTATACATACTATATTAGAAAAAAAATAATTAAATAGTCGATCAATCACATAAATAAAATGCTCAAATATATAAGGTCACCAACGCATTGCAAGGCTAATTTCTTGAACCTACATCGTTCTAATTAATTTAATACCATAATAATTAAACCTCAAGACATATAAATTTACATGATTTTTAACTAAGCAAAGTTTTTTGCTTTATCTTATCATACTGTAGATGTTTTTTTAATTTTTTTTTACAAAAGCTGTCTCGTAGTTATTTATTTGATAAAATTGACATTTAAAAAATTACTATATTGATTGATGAAACCAAAAAGGCGGCTTATTAGAGCCCCTCATTGAATAAAATAAAGAAATTTCCACGTACCTGATTGAGCCTCAAATCCAATCATTAACACAAAAATTGTTTATATCGTTCACTCGCGTCACGTTTTCCCTAACAACAATCAAAAAATCAAGAAACTATTTCCCGCGCTTTTACTTTACAAAGCTGTTCTATGCGTGTTGGTGGTACTGAAAGGTAAAATAGTACTCTACTCTAAAAGATACGCCAACCAGTGTACTTTTAGATTTGCTCGTCCCCACTCTTTTTTAAAGTTGGCCTGTGAGCTTTGCGGAATTATCTTCAGCAGCCGCGACCAGCCATTTATTTATAGCCCTGCTTGCATTCTGTGCTTATTTTTTTTTAATTGGTTTTTCTTCGAAGAATCTAAAAAGGAGACAGAAGAATGCAAAAAAGCCAATGGCAAGGTAGTACCTGCAGCGTCTGATAACGATTTCTATGAAATCCATGATACCTACGATTTTTATCACTATTTAAATCAACTGCAAAAAAATCATAAAATTTAATGTGTCTCTTTACTAAAGCACCACATGTCAGAGTTTTACTTAACAGATGTTCTTCTAGAAATTACAGGGTGCTTCATCCAATAAAAGAATTGTTAAGGAACAGGAAGCACTTTCGAGTTAACCAGAAATTGCGGGTACTAAAAAAATATGGGTAACAGCACGTTTCCTGACCTTACCCAAAATTTAATTCAAATATCGTGTTCTCGTGAGTCACTTTTCTTTGTAAAATTATCAGGATCTTACCAATTAAACGTTTAGCGGAATAAAAGGTACCGCAAAGATAAGTGGTACTACTACTGATTAGATCTTATAATAGCCTATATACTAAAAATAGTAATTATAATTTACTTTTCGGAATTGCGTAATTGGGTCGAAATGTTTATTATCCCTTTGTGTTTTTTCCAAATTGAGATAAGTTTTGGCCTTATAAAAATAACAAATAATATTATATCAAACCGCAAACAATAATATTTTCGAAAGTGTTGGGAAACGCTTTTAGATAATATGAGAGAGAACATAGAAAGTATTCAAAGAAGTTCATCGTCCCCATATATTATGCCAGAAATGAGTTAATCTATTTTTGAAATGGAATATAGGATATAGAACTGCTTCTATTATAACGGGTACATTTCAGTTATTTATAAAATGTATGGGAAATGCAATTATCAAAAATTCATTTAGCGGTTACCAATTAGCTGTTATTTTGCATAAATTAAACTTTGTCAATATAAACAACAACGACTTCGTTTGAATTAATCGTTTTATGGGGAATTTTTTGAAAAAATCCCTCTGACGTCAATCGATGGAAAAAATCAGAAGTTCTTCAAATAAATAATTTTGATTTGTCCTACATTTTATTTTTGAATGCATTGACACACCTATGGTTCACAATTAGTTTTAGTATGAATTGCTCCTCAGCTTGGAGAAGCAACTTGGGAATTTAGAAAAAATCATCGTATTAACAGTTACAAAATATTTGCAATGCAAATATCGATGTCGCATACGTGACAATGCAATGTGGTTGAACTATAACTTAAAAAGAATTAGGAATTCATAGGATTTGTTGATTTTTTTTTCATTCTCCCTTCTATTAGGTTTTTCGTTTCTCAAAAATTCTTTGGCTACTCTTAGAAAAAAAGTGAATTTTGTGTTGCCCTTCATCTACATTTTGTCATTTTTTCAACTTCTACGATGGTTTTTCTCTCTGTTATAAAGTGTTTCCTCGCCATAATGTATTTATCCATTGGTACATCTAATACAATGTAAGACAAAAGTCTCAATTGAAATGTACTGAAAGTTTGTTTAGATACAGAGGATGTCTATTTATGACATCACATTTCTAATGGACAATTGACAAAGTTAGCATATGCCACGTCACAGTTTCACAATTTCCAACTATGCCATCCATTGGTAGGTACCTACCTACTTCCAATACAATGTAAAACAGAAGGCTCAATTGAAATGTACTGGAAGTTTGTTTAGATACAGAGAATGTCAATTAATGACGCCACACTTCGAATGGATAATTTATAGTCTGTTTTTTTTTAAAGATTCCCCAAGTCAAAAATTTAGTGACTAAGTTGGCAACACAAGCATAAAAAATTTGAAAGCGTTGACAATTTTACATTGTATTGCCAACATAATGTCATTCTGACTTTTATCTTTAAAAAAAAAAACAGATTTTACAAAGCAAGGATGACACGTTACATTTTCAAAATTTCCAAGTTGGTAGGCGGCCATCCATAATATAAATTATCCATTGGTACATCCAATGCAATGTAAGATCAAATAATCTCAATTAAAATATACTGAACGTTTGTTTAGATACAGAGGATGTCAATTGATGACGTCACACTTCTAATGGACAATTGACAAATTCAGGACGCCACGTCACACTTTCACAATTTTCCAGTATACCATCATAATGTAATTTCCATCGTTAGGTACTTCCAATACAATGTATACTATAAGACAAAAGTCTCAACTGAAATGTACTGAAAGTTTGTTTAGATACAGAGGATGTCAACTGATGACGTCACACTTCTAATGGACAATTTCAAGATGCCACGTCAAACTTCCAAAATTTCCAAGTAGACCATCGATAATGTAATTATCCATCAGTAGGGTAGGTACGAGGGTACTTCCAGTCTCAATTTAAATGTACTGAAAGTTTGTTTAGATACAAAGGATGTCAATTAATGAGTTCACACTTCTAATAGACAATTGACAAAGCCAGGATGCCACGTTACACTTCCAAACTTTCCAACTATGCCATCCATAATGTAATTATCCATTGGTACATCCAAGATAATATAAGACGAAAGTTTCAATAATCTTACTGAAAGTTTGTTCACATACAGAAAATGTCTATTGATGACGTCACAATTCAAATAGGCAATTGACAAAGTTAGCATGCCACTTCACACTTTCAAAATTTCCGAGTAGGCCATCCATAATGTAATTATTCATCGGAAGATACTTCCAATGCAATGTGTTGCAACCCGCTGCCGCCGCCGCTGTATTTAAAGTTAAATTTCTTTATATTTTTATTCCTACTATAATCTTCTGTTTCTACGTTTCTACCCGATTTTCAAGGGAACGTGCGTATGCCCAAACGCATCGCAAAAGTAGGTCAAGACTGGAGGTGGAGAGTATTTACCTACGAAGTCGAAGTTTTTGTTTGCCTTGAGTTCTCACTTCTAGTCAGAGATCGTAACGAATTGCAAGGGTTGTTTTGTACCGCTTTTTTCTTTTCTCCAAATGGCCCGATCGTACGCCTGAAATCAACCTTTTCTTTCTCTTCAGTTTTCTATTGTTTAATTGCTGTTAATTAACCAATTATTTGCGTTAAAGTGAACGTTCCATATACTTATTTAAATAGGTATGCAATGTTCTTCAGAATTTGTTACCTGTTTTCTGTAAATAGTTGTAAATAGTCGTTTTTCGTTCAAATTAAAATAAAATAAACACTTTTCATAATCAAACCATCGTGTTTCCTTGAACCTGGATTTACGAACAAGAATTAGCACGGCATTGGCAGCATTCTACCACAGATTCTACTCTTGAAAAATAAATAAATGTTGGAAACCACAACATTTAATGGTCAGCTTCGATCCGGATTTGAACCTCCACATTGGAAATCTTCATCGTAAAATTTGGAAATCTTCGAAGAGCTGGAAAATTGGGTGAGAAAATTCCAATTTTACTTTGAACTTTACTTGTGCAATACCTACGAGTGCTACGTTCTTGCAGCAAAGACTCAATTCGGGTCAATTCGGGACTCAATTAGGTACTATACCAATTTGTTTTAGACAAAAGTGTTTCTTTCAAAAAACAATTAAAATAAAGTGTCGCTATTTTCTAGTTAAAACTTAATAATATAAATTTTTCCTATTATATTATTTTATATTTTATATTTTCAAATTTTTGTTAATAAGTTAACTTTTGATAGTTATTAGCAAGTATTTTAGTAAAAATGGAAACACTTATACGCAAAAAAGGTCATTGCAAAGGCCGTCTTACAAGAATTATAAATTGGTTAAAATTTAATGACAATTTACTTGATATTGAAAAGCTTAGCACTCGTAAAACTGCTTTAAAAGATATTTTGCAAACATTTAACTCTATTCAAGAGGAAATTGTTACCTCTCAAACTGAAGACACGCCCATGCAAGACCTTGATGATGAAGACATAGAAGGTTTGATTTTAGACGCCATATCGTTAATTAATACGCAGGTAAAATTCTTACAAGGTCTTCAACAAGTTTCTCCTCAACTCAAAGTTTCTCAGCAACCTCCAGTGTTGCCTCAAATTAATTTCAAGCTCCCTGACATATCAATAAAGCCTTTCAGCGGCGTATCTTCAGAATGGCAATCATTCCATGACTTATTTGAAAAATTGATAATTAATAATTCTCAACTGGACAATCACCAAAAATTAATTTATTTAAAAAGTTATCTAAGAGACGAAGCTCTCAAATTAGTTGACAAGCTGCAGCTGGTTGAAACAAATTTCGACATCGCTCTCGAGACGTTGAGAGAGCGATACGAAGACAAATACACAATTATAGATGCTCATTTGTCAAATTTATTTGAAAATTTACCAAGTTTAACCAAGGTTGACAAAGATAACTTACGCGACTTTCTAACTACTGTAAAGCAAAATATTAGTGCTTTAAAAAATCTTGGCGTACCCATCGAACAAAGTGACCTAATATTAGTTCACATTTTTTCTAGAAAGCTAGATTTCAATATACGAAAGGCATATAGATTACAACGCGATATGAAAATACTGCCAACTTTAGAAGATTTTTTGTCCTTTTTAGAAAAACATTGCCGTGTTTTGGAGGACCTAACTCCGTCAAATTCAATTGCAATTAAGCACAGCCCAAAACCAGTCAAAAAATTATCATACCTTTCAAGTACGCCAAGCTCTTCTGATGGCAATAAACCAATGACGCACGCTACTCAAAAATGTACCTACTGCAAATTGGACAATCACAACATTTATAGGTGTCTAAAATTTAAAGGTACTTCAAATAATAATAAAATTCAATTTGTACTTAATAACAATCTTTGTCAAAATTGTTTAAACAATCACAATATTAACAATTGCCAATCAAAACATCGGTGCATTGTATGTGGGGCATTACATCACACAATGTTACATGGTTGTCAGGTTTCTTCAAATTTTCAAAATTCTCATCGAAGATATTCGGAGAGAAATTTTAATAGCAATAATAATAATCGTTTCGGAAGTAATAATTCAAATTCTCGCTCAAACAACGA